ACGAACTAGACGAAATACTAAAATTTAAATAAATAACGCCCCCCCCCCCCCCCCCTTTTTTTTCAGTAGTCATTTGGCTTCAGACACTACTTTATTTTATTTGGTGCCTTTTGAGCAGTTGAACAGTGTGTGCAAATGCATAAACACAATACTCACGTGTATTTGCAGCACAGCATTGCAGTGATGTTCAATGATGACAGGCTGCTCTTGTTTAGAAGGGCTGGAGTATGCTATTAAATGAAGCATGCTATTAAATGGGTGCAGATTGCAGGTTCAAAGGTATGCCACCATACAGTATATAAAATTCCATACTTAAGTAGTTCAGTGCTTAATTAACTCCAAGGTCAGCAATGTATCCTTCTGGGGGGTTCATAATTTTGTTTATTATTGTTTTATTTATTATATATAATTGTATTGTTGCAGAAACTATGATTAAGACTAAGCATGAAAATTGTTGAATTACAGAGTGGATATACACTCAAATTAAATCCCAATTATGCAGTTCTTTCATTAAGTTCTTTGGGTGCTTTGTAAAACCTAATCCAGCATAAGCATTAGAAAAAGAGGTATAATTCTAAACATTTTAAGAGCCAGGGCTGAGCCTTGTGAGAAAATGTGAGAAAACTCATCACAGTCAGATGAAAGCCCAGGGTGTCTCTTGGATATATTCTGGGCGTTTCTTGGGCGTTTTGTGGGAAAACTCTTCTCTGACCTTGTGCTCACACTGGGTGTGAGAGTAGAGCTGGCATCAGCTTCCTCACCCCTCAGTCACATCCAGCTCTGTGGCAGCATTTCATAAATGTAAACACAGTTTTGAAATTTAATACATGTCCAAATTATATCCATTATGACGGATGATACTGGGGCATAAAGTAGCCATTGCTGCTTCTCTGTGAAAAGCTTTTCAGATACCTGCATTAAGCTCTCTTGTCTGCTAGACAAATGTCACCTGTAGAAAGTGTCCATTACTCTCCTGAACAATGTTTAAATATGTTTAGGGGGAGGTATTTGTGTGAAACTCGCCCAAAAGACTCTTCTCAGAACAGATGCCACATTTGAGTTATTGCATTTATTGATTTATGTTATTTTTTTACTTTGTTAATGCATGTTCCTGGTCTTACTGCGAGTGATTCATCAATGCACATTAGTCTAAAGAAAAAAAAAAGATGTTAAAAAATGTCTTTGGATTATGTATAATCAAAACTTGCTCCACCTCTGACACAACTTTCCATGTTTGGCTGAAATCATCAAGCCATTTTTTGTTTTGTTTTTCCGTTTCAACCACCTGTCATATAGAAATCACTTTTTACAATCCTGATGTATAAAATCACGTCTTTCCATACTATTTATTAAATATCCTGTTTAACTCTGAAATACATCACATAGAAGTAAAATGGGTTGTTTTTAAATATGGAATTTCAATCCTTTCGCCAATAAAATATCGAAGAATGCATCTTAAAATAAATTTCCTGTTGACAAAATGTCCAGAAAGTTGTGAAAATTATTTTACTCTGAATACAGTCTGTAAGAAGTCTTCTTCCCAGTAAAGATCATTTTACTTTCACTAGCCATAT